GTCAGGATTCATCACTAATGTGATTTCTTTGTGTAATTAGTAAATAATAAAAGAAGTGTTAAGCCCTCCAGTAACCTGTCTATTTTGTTCACAAGGAAATAGGAGTAAATCAGAGTACTGCATCATTAATATGAACCGCTTAGTGTTATGAATGACAAGTGTGGATTGTAAATCTGTCACAGTCGTTCAACGGACAGCCTTGACAGAAAAGAAATAGGGTTAACATCCATCTGTTGTGCCGCTGAGAGATCTTGATATGAATTGTGATCCTTAAAAGGTTGTGTGTTTTTTTGCTATTAGTGGTATCTGGTTTAATTCTAATTTAGGATGATTAAGGCTGAAACTTAACTGTAACATTCCACTGCAATCAATTACATTACTTTCAAGTAAGCATGTTTAGCATTGGGAGTGCCATTACTAATCTATTCTGGAAAATTATGGCTCTATCATAAAAAGTCCATTAATGTTCCAGATATGCCAGCAAGGTAGTCAGAAGCTGCCACCATGTAACTTCTTAGAAGTAGGAGCATTTATTTGTAATCCTCCCAACCTGCCATATGTCTAAACTCAAGGGGTGTTTAAAATCAAGCAATCATTTGCGAAGTACTATTCAGCTGTAGAGTTAAAAGACAGAACTGATGGGTATTTTATAGCTAGAGCTAGGGACTTGTAAATTGCTGCTGATACCTCCTAGAAAGCTTTGTGTTTAGAAATAATCCTGTGTCCAGATATCATTTTGCTAATTATATCTGCATGAAAAGAGGCTGCCATGATAATGTTTATTCCACCCGAATCAGTCATAAAATTCTGTTTATCTCACAAGGGCATTTCCACTTTTGGTTGCCTTATTTATGGTGCTATTAACTACAGCCCAATCCATCCTTGCCGACAACCTGGGGGGGGGGGGGTCCATTTACAACACAATTGTATGAATGGAGTTCAACGTAGTAAGTTTGTGTGAGCAGCTCCCCACGTATTGGGTTGGAGCCTATGGAAGCACAAGCAGAAGGAAACTGCAGAGAAGTAGATCTTCCCCACCTTTCCTCAGCACCTCTGTGCGAGCACTAAATATGTACTGCTAAGGTCAGGAGACCCTCATAATAAACATGCACCATGTTATGAGAGGTTGCAGTGAGGAGGTGGAATCAGGTGGAATTACTCCCCCTCCCCAGCTCTCCCCTCAGCTGCCAGCGGAGGAACAAGCTCTTTGCCAGTGAAAGAAATCTGAGGAGGCCGTTTTGCTGATTCCTACTCACTTGCAGCACCCTATGCCATGGTGCATTCTGTTTATGAAAGTTCCCTGACCCTCAGTAGAAGATTTTCACGGTGCTGCTGGGAAAGGGGAAAGCAGGGAAGATTTGTTTCCAGGGGCTCCTTTCACTCTGGGCCTCCAAGATCTAACCTTTGAGGGTTTGTGCTGATACATCTGAAAGCTGCTCTTACATAAAAACCACTCAGATGCTTTACCACATGGAGCCATGGGTTCCAGTACAAATGGCCACCTACTTACATAAAGCAGGTCTAGAGTAATCATACAAAGCATAACTTTATATAGGGTGTCCTAAAGTGTTTGGCTCCAAAAAGTGTATATCAGGAAGGAACTATGAGAATAATTCATTAGCATGGTATGCTGTGACATATTTGGGACAAATTAAACCTTCCTGGAAGGAAACAAAATACTAGATTGGATTGGCTATTAATCTGATTTAAGAAGGTAGTTCTTATGTGAAGGATTCATAAACAGCATCCTGTTTTCATGTATACAGTGTCAATGCTGGCTCCTGACATGTTCTTCTCCTTAACTGCCTCTGAGTACCAAACCAGACATGGTCTTGGAGCTCTGTGTCTGGAGTTTCCAGTTGTTCCCAGTGGGGAAAAAAACTTCACTTTTCAGGCATATGGGGCCAAAACTTGTATTGGGGTCATGGTGTACATGTGTATGAAGACTTCCCAATCCTCTGAGTTTACATTGATACAGGAGACAGCAACTCCCCAGGCCAGTTTCAGATCAGGAAAATGGTGCATGGGGAAAGCTTAAACCACAGTCCCATTTCACATTGGGCTTTGTATGACTGAAAATAGAGATTAAAAATTGCTGGGAGATCTGGACATGAAACTCCTAGTTCCTGTCTGGTTTGGCCCACAGTCATTCTTTTGCATTACCATCTAGTCTTCTTCATACCCTGCTCATTTACTTCAAAAAGCTGGTAAGTTTGTCCTGTTGATAGCTACCTCCTAATTTTATTGGCTTTTAAAGATATTCTCCAGCTATCCAAAGCAGAAAATGGGGCATCTAGCTTGTAGAAAAACTGGGGAAGGGAAGGAAGGAGTATTGTTTCATCGAATTGAAGAGAAAGGAGATTTCCCTTTGACAAACAGTTTGTGCATTGAACTGAGCTCCTTTAAAAGTGAAAATATCAATTGTAAATAAGTTATACAGAAAAAGAGCTAAAATACATTTATTTATTTATTCAAATTTTTATCCCACCCTCCCGGCCTGGGCTGGCTCAGGGCGGCTTACAAGCAGATAAAATTCCAACAATACATACAAAACACATCAACAATTAATATAAATAGAATATTAAAATACCATGTTAAAATCAGATATAATAATAAAGTGCTAGACTCTTTACCATCAACCACATTGGTCTGCTCAGATGTCATAAGAAGTGCTTCAGGTGTCATAAATCATCATAGATCATAAGGGGGGATTGGCTCGGGCAGTAGTTGAGGGTCCAGTGGGTAAGGGCTCTTCACCATAAGATGTCAATTGTTATTAATAACAATGGTGGTCATGGTGGTAATAGCAGCAGTGGCGGCTCCAAAAGCCTGGAGGAAGAGCTCCGTTTTACAGGCCCTACGGAACTGTAAAAGGTCCCACAGGGCCCTGATCTCTTCTGGAAGCTCATTCCACCAGAATGGATCCACCACTGAAAAAGCCCTGGCCCTGGTTTTCACCAGCCTGGCCTCCTTAATACTTGGGAGGACCAGCCGATTCTGGATCCCTTGCTTCACCCCTTTACGGGGATGAGGTTTGTTAAGCAGCCTGTGGAAGCACAATTCAATGATCCAGATTACATCTGGAGAATTTAACCCATAATCTCTGATTATCGTACCAGAAACTGTTTTAAGATTCACAAAAGCTACATAGATCAGGTCATCTTTTTCATGTTGACATACTTTTGGGTAAAGTGAGCTAACTCAAAACAATTATCCATGGTAGTTCAGCCAAACAGTTTTAAATCCTACTTGTTCATCAATAGGTACCTTATTTGTGAAGGCTGAGTCTTCCAATTTACATAAAAGATACTTGGCATGTAGTTCTAACGTAATAACAAACACAGTGAAGCTGCTGCCGCCTGCAGCTCTCTGGCACATGTCCACAGCACATTTGGAGGTTATGTGTCTTCCATTCATACTTGTTGCTTGCAACAAATACAAATACTGGTGTACTGCTATATAAAGTGTGAAGTGGTTCTCATGGTGTGTATTGTATATATGTTTGAGGACTTTCCCCACCATATAGACAGGTTTACATCAAGGGAAAATATCAGCCAGAAGTTTCTTCATAACATACCTCCCCCAGTGGTCCCTTAGCTGCATTTCACTGGCACTGACTTAAAAATAGCATAATCCTCTCTGTGTGATGCAGAGAAAAAAGGACATATGAGAAAACAGCCTAGGGCATTTAAATGTTATCTACATCAAATTAGTCAGTAACCTGAAATAAGTGAAGGTTGAATTCCTTGTGAACATGGGAGGTTTGTGTCTAAAGATGATAAAACAGCTGAAATTTCCTGGCCTGTGGATACATTGGCATTAGATAATGTCTCTTGTTCTGCTGTGTGGTAGTACTGATCAGCTTTTGTCACTTTTTTTGCAACAAAAGATGAATCCCCATATTGATCGAGTATAACTGTCTTCAAGGGAGATAGGGCTTGGGATAGAGAAATCTCATCAAGACATGCAACCAATGACGTGGATTTGTGAAATTGCTTTTTAAGTTTTCTGTCATTACAAAAAGTAATTCCTTCCCCAATTTGATAACAGAGCAAAAATTGGCTCCCACAAATATAGACCGTTATGTATCTGCATTTTACAATTTCTGGATTGTTAACTTGCTCTGCTACTGAACCTCAGTTTATGTGTATGCACACCCTCCATCAGGAGCTGCAGTGGCTCAAGAGGTTAAGACGCTGAACTGCAGGCTGTGGAAGGTCAGTAGTTCAGCAGTTCGAGACCCGGGTGCCGCATGACGGAGGGAGCTCCCGTCTCTAGTTCCAGCTCCTGCCAACCTAGCAGTTCGAAAGCAAGAAATTGCAAGTAGATAAATAGGTACCACTTCGGTGGGAAGGTAACAGAGTTCCGTGCGCCTTGGTGTTTAGTCATGCTGGCCACATAACCACGTCTTCGGACAGCGCTGGCTCTTCGGCTTTGAAACGGAGATGAGCACCGCAACCCTAGAGTTGGATTCGACTGGCTTTCGAGCAAAGGAACCTTTACCTTTACATCCTCCATCATTGTGCCTGCTTTATCCATCAAATGAAGTACAGTGTTGCTTATGGAAGCTTATACTGCATTAGAGTCAGTTAGCTTTTAGGTGGCCATAAACTAATATGGCTGCAACAGTCTAGTGCAACTACTATCCTGGAGCTTAGGGCTAGTCCTGTTTACAAAGAGGATGCATTTGGGTACCAGTTGTGCATGGTTGGGAAGCAATGTAAGTTTGTTAGTGATGGTGGTGGTTTGGGGTAAGAACTCTGTCCACTGTAGCTCTCTGAAGTCTGTTTCTTTTCTAGATATTTTCATACTGCAGGCTGATAATGTTGCTTCCTTCTGTGTGGTTTCAAAGCACAGTACTAATAAAGCAGTAATCTTAGTTGCATGCATACCGACCCAGGGAGCAAGACAAATATTTTGTTGAGCTTTTCAGTCACCCTGCACAAATGCAAAGACATGGCTAAAACATAAATGTCTTAATGCTGTTTTCCCCCTCCTAGGGAGTCACAGCTTTGCTTTTATTGAAGACAGGCGACTTAGTCATTGGCACTGGAGCTGGAATTGTAGCTCACTGCTCAGGATCCAACTATAAAGCTATCAAGTGAGTTTCCGATCATTCATAGGCAGGATATTGTTGCTCAGTGAACATGTAGATAATGAAATTATGAAAACTAATACATAGCAAAATGGTACTATAATTGCATTTTTTTCTGTGTGTGTATCATTAGACTGTGTTATGTTTTAGATAATTGACCAGATATTTCTAGTGCAGGTGCTTTGTAAGTAAACCTCAAAACCAATGCTGCATATATAAATTTGTAAGTAGATCCCACTGAGTTGAATGGGACTAGGGATACCACTCCCCAGGTGGGGGTGCAGAATTCCTTGCTTTTGCAGGCTCCTGCCCACCGCTGGCCAGCTGGCTGGTGGGAAGAAATTTCCCCATTCCTGACGCCATGCACGACGCGCTGACGTCACCCAGAAGTTACATCTGTGTGTCAGTAACATCGGGGGGTGACACATTGTTTCTGGGCAAAACTCTATGGTTTGAGGCTGTTTTTACCATAGAGTTTTACCCAAAAAGCAGAGTGTTGCCCCCAGCATCACTGACACACTGATGTCACTTCCGGGTGACATCAGCATGTCGTGCGACCCCTGGAATGCCCCCCAAATTCCCCCGCCAGCATGACAAAGGGATCTGGCAATCTTAAATGGGACTTATTTCCATTGCACTGTATATATTCATATTTAGGGATCAATGCTAAATTAAGTCCCCTGCCTCTTACACTGGACAAAGCAAATCTTGTACAAGAAAGATGCACTGTCCTTTTGATGCAGCTTGGCAAGCAGAGCAGCCAAACTGTAGTGTTTTGACTAGTCAAGGGAACTTTTAATTGGCAAATGTAACTAGAAGATGCATTTCTGTCAATAAAATATCAGTCCCATGTTGCTCATAGGTTCTGAGTGCAACCACTGGCATGCAAACAGATTCCCTCTGCCCCTTTGAAACATTTGGGTGACCCCACCGAAATATTAAATGAAAGCGAATTTCAATAGAGATAAGTGCAAAGTCTTACACTTAGGTACAAAAAAATCTAAGACACAGATATAGAATGGGGGGGACGTGGCTTGACAGCAGCACATGTGAAAGGGATCTAGGTGTTCTGGTTGATCACAAGCTAAACATGAGCCTGCAGTGCGATGTGACTGTGAAGAAAGCTAATGCAATCTTAGGATGCATTAACAGAAGCATTGTGTCCAGATCACAGGAGGTGGTAGTTCTGCTCTATTCTGCTATGGTCAGGCCTCACCTGGAGTACTGTGTCCAGTTTGGGGCACCTTAGCCTGGGAAAGAGAAGGCCTAGAGGGGACATGATTGCAGTCTTCAAGTATTTGAAGGGCTGTCATGTAGAAGATGGAGCAGATCTATTCCCTCCTGCTCCGGATTGCAAGACTAGATCTAATGGGTGGAAATTACAAGGGACTCGATACCGGCTAAATATCAGGAGAAACTTCCTAACTGTAAGAGTGGTTGAGCAGTGGAACAGACTGCCTCAGGAGGTGGTGGATGCTTCCTCGCTGGATGTTTTCAAGTGGAGGCTGGATGACCATCTTTCGGGTCTGTTGTAGGGCTATCTTTCGGCTATGCTCCTGCAGAGTGCAGGGGGTTGGACTAGAGGGGGTTGGACTAGATGACCTACAAGGTCCCTTCCAACTCTAACATTCTATGATTCTATAGTTCTGTGATTGAGTTCATTAAGCAACATCTTTTCAAAAATAATTCTCTGGGCCTTAATTCTTTTCCTTGGTTACTAAAGCCAGATTCTGCTATGAGCCATTGCTGGAAGGAAGGATAAAGTAGCAACCAACTGAATAGCAAGAACTGGGAGGGAAAGGTGGTCAGGCAAAACCTAATCTTTAATACAAAACTTTTCTTTGATTTTACAGAAAAGTTCAGTTGCAAGGTGCCATCACATCCATCACGCCACGAGGGCAGGGCCACCAGTTTTTTGTGGGTACTATTGAGGCACAAATTTATCGCTTCTCATATTCGGACTTTAAGGATGAGCTCATCGTCACCTGCCACAGCGAGGCCATCCACGATATTGTTTTCCCATAGTAAGTGTGATGCAAACGGTCTTCTTATCTTAAAAAATGGAGAGTTGCAATCTTGGTACATACTTTATACAAAACTTTACTATTATCCATTGATTTACAAAGCAAGCATTTACTGGTAGTATCAGCCATTTCTGTGCTTCTGTATGTAAGAAATTAAGGTTGAAGTCCTGGTATTATTTGAGTTCAGTGGGACTTATTTGTGAGTAAACCTGTGTAGGATTACCCTGTAACAAAACAAGTGAGATAACACAGTACACAGGAACATGAAACAAGCAAGCACTGCATAAATAATGCAGACCAAAGAGTGCCCAAGTAATATAGACAACAGAAAACATTTATATAACAAGATAACACTATACTAACAAGGAACCACATGTTATCAGTGATAGCAAAATACAACATGTAATGCACAAGTACATAAGTAGTACAGAGAAAACAGAGGATAGACAAAGACTCCAGATTTCAATCTTAGTTTCGATGACCCTGCTTAGGTGGCGAGCAGATTTTAGCTCGCCCACGGAGCCAAATGGACCCAGTACCGCTTCAGATGGCTCTGCGGGATCCAAGGCCCCCTGGTGGCTCATTGGATGAACTTGTGGAGGACTGGCATAGCCGACTCTCCACAGCCATCGACGAGATCACTCCCTGGCGCCCTCTGCGCACTCGCTCTAGGCTGGCCCCCTGGTACTCCCAGGGGTTGCGGCTTATGAAGCGGGAGCTGAGACGGCTAAAGAGAATTCTATGCAGCCAGGATTGCGTCTGTGAGCTCACGCCCAGCCCAATTGTTTAGAACAATTAGGTCTTTAACGGCCCTGCCACAGGGCAGGCAAAACGCTAGGGAATTGGACATTGGCTGTGAGGCATTTGTGAGCTATTTCACAGATAAAATCTTGGTGCTCCGCCGTGATCTCCCCGCTAAAGTTGAAACAGTGAGCGAACCCGAGGCCCCTTGCACATCTTCGATTCTGGACATTGGAGAATACAGAGAAGCAGTTGGAAAACTTCTCTACTTGAGCAAAACCACAAGGTCTGACATCACAGCAGCAGTTGGCATCTTTATGCAGAAAAGTTAGTTTGCCTAACCATCACTATTGGAGCACAATAAAGAAACTGGCAAGGTATCTGAAAGGAACAATGGACTTAGAACTGAAAATTGCACCATCTGAAGGGCCCAGACTAGTCGGATATATGGATGCCAACTGAGGAGAAGAATCAAACAATTTCAGATGAGCTTGGTGGAATAGCTATTCATTTAGGCCTCCTTTGGATTCCTTATCTGTTTTCTACTTTTCTGCAGAATGCAGTACATCCTTTGAACCCTTCTGTGTTCTCTGTGCAACCTTTAAACCCATTTATGTTTTTCTTTGTCTTGACATTCTGAAATACTTCAAAGTGCTGGTGTTATTCTGCTGTGTACAATCATAGGATGTGTGATTCAAAAAGAAAAACACTTTGATGAGTCTTTGTTTGTTTTTTTCTTCTGGTAATTCTTCCTGGGCTGTGTTGAATTTTAAAAAATCACATAATTCTCTCCTTTACTACCCAGTTATTGGATTATTTTCAAATGTCATTCCCATAGCACCTTATTGGCTAACAAATTAGTGTTTCACCACTTTGGGAAGGCTCTGGCTTCCTGTGCATAGCCATGGCTACTTTTCAGAGCCTCCTTCCTAAGCATTAGATCTCACCTATCTAGAAAACCAATCCCAACCTTCAGAGCTGTCAGTGAGCTGTCAAGGATCTTCTGTGGGTCCAGAGACAATGCTGTTTTCTGTAACGACATTCATGCTTTTACTGGTGCTATACTTTTTGCTACAAGCTCTTCTGTATATATAGGGTGTGATTGATCCCATGCATTCAGAGAAGCTGTTCATTGCAATTTTCATTGCATTTGAAAAAGTAGGCAGCAAGTCTTCATTAGCTGTGAGACATATGTCACTAATATTGTTAAAAATACTTTGTAATATGCTTCTGGGTTTGGCATGGTTACTTGTTGTTCTTCAGCCTCCATTTATGATTCACCAGGCAAATACTTCCACTGCCCTTCACCCTCTCTCTTTGTTCCTTGCTGGGGGGAAAAGTGTAAATTCCACAAAACTCCACTGGATTCTGTGAAGTTGTACAAAGTTGCAACTTACAAAGTGCAGAGTTGGAACAGTTCTGGTTCAAAAAGAATATTGCAGGCATCTCTATGATACAGAGATTAAGCAAACTACCGTATGTGCAAATATTTTAAGAGAGTAATACTATGGCTGCAGTGTGCAAAATATCATTCTGGCTACTGTGCCCTCTGAACTGTGATTTCACATGGCCTCTCCCAGCCATACATTATGTGGGAGTCCTTGTTGGATGCAGTGTCCCAGTGTCTCAGCCTCCAGAAGCAAGTGACCACAGAGTTGCAGGCAGATAGGCAGACAGCAAGCGTCTTCCTGTTCAATCTGCTGTCACTGAGAATCCCTTTGAAGTGTAGATCAGCACTCCTTAGGGAAAAGCAACTTCCTTCCATCTCCTCACTGTCTTCTCTCTCTTCCATGCACACAAGATGGAGATGCAGGATGCCTCTCAGCATCTGCTTCCATCTCCCAGTTAGATAGCCTATCTCTCTACCCTGCACTATCAAGCATGTGTTTCTAGAATAAAGTAGTTTTTTTTTGTTTCAAACTGAAACAAGACTCTGTAATTTTGTAGTCTTGCAAGCACATAGTAGATTTGGGACAAGCACTGCTGTGTTAAAGCCAAGTGCACTCTGAAAACAAAAAACCACTACCCTTCCTACAATTCTATGATCCTATCTCCCATCATGCTCTTTAGCATTAAAAAGGCTGTGAAAGGGGGAAAGATTGAGCCTGCGGTGCTGGGACAGGGAGAGGTTAAACCATCCACCACCACCTCATGTTGTTTTCCTTGCAGATATTGTGCCCTCCCCAGAGCTTCTGTATAATGATAAAGAAAACAGACAGGGACAATGTGGGTTCCCCAGTGGTGCCAGTAGCAGTTCAGAGGAGAGGTTGGATTTCTGTCAAGAAAAAGGCACAGAGGGAAGGGTTCTTCCCCCTCTGTTCCAGATCACATACACACGTTGTGGCTACTTTATAAAGAATGCAACAAGGAGGACAAAATCCCACTTAATGTGTACTTTGATGCTCCAAACTCCTTTCTAGATGGCCAGCTTACAACGATATGTCAGCTAATGTTCCTCGTTTATAAGATCCAGATTTCTTTCCCTGAAGTATTACTCCTCTTGTAGGAATACCACATTTTCCCCAGGACACTAGTCATAATATTTACCTAAATGCAGTTTTCTCCATAGCCAGTGCAGAACATGGTTGGTGTGTTACAAAAACCTACTAAGGCCCCGGTCACACGGGAGATTTTGGCCCGGAAGAGGGATGGATCGGGGGTGCAGCAAACGGGCGTGATCAAACCGCAACATCTGGGAAGTGGCGCGCACCCATCCCCGATCCGTCCCTTCAGCCGGAAAACCCGCTGCAAAAAAGAACCTGCAAAAGAGCAGGACTTACCAGAAACGGCACAGCAAGCGCGGCCGTGAGATCGCCGGCACGCCCGTCTTCCGGAGCAATCGAGGCTCCCGGCTGAACTATGCATGCGCACACATGCTCGGTTCGACTGCCTCGCTCTCCCTTCAGTGGCTTCCCCCCGGCATCTGATCGTGCTGGGGAGGAACTGCGTGGCAGCTCAGGGGATCTAGCTGATCCCGCCACTGCGTGTCTCTTTTGGTGCGGCTCTAAAAAGCTGCACTTTGGCCGTTCTTTTTTCCCCCGTGTGGCAGGGGCCTATGTAATCCCAGTGGCATCACTAGTGACTGGAGATTGTTAATATCAGTTGCCTCTGCAGCAAGGCTTGACCTTTCATTCCTTATGAAGAAACTGGATATCAAACTACTGGTGCTGGGTCAAGGTAATAATAAAGTTGTTTGCCTTTGGGAAAGGGCCTTGAGAATGGTGAGTCGGCAGGGGCTGAAGGATTGGAATGCTGGCTAGAGAGAGGAACTGCTGGGAGAGAGGAACTAGTGGAGGGTCAGAGAAGCTGTGAAAAGGTTTGCTGTCTGAGCCACCATCAGAAAAGTGTTTGCTGCTCCACATCTCCCCAAAGCAGTACCTGCAATAAGTTTTGGACATGGCCCCATTCATTTTTACAATTTACTTTAGGAGCCCACCTGTCCTTTTGAGCTCCAATTTGTATCAGAATCATCTGGTTCTAGTACCATACAGGCTTTACAGCTTTGCTTTTATGGGCTAGAGCTTACATTTTCACATCTATGAACTCAGTCCTGAGTTGAAAGAAATACAAGCATATGGTTGAGGGGGAAAATGTAAAACAGTGGGGTCAAAAGACAGAAATGCAAGAGAGACATTTTTGGTAAAACTCGGTTAAAAGATGAGCACAGTCACAAGTCACTGTTTTATTAACAGGTGATAATGTCATCTTTCTATATACATTAAGCATTGTGTTTATAAAATGAGAGAGCATCAGATTTCTCAATCAATTCTAGTTCAGAGGTTTCCCACTTCTTGAAGTTATTTTGTTGGAAAATTATTACTTTCAGGTCAGCAGCTGAATGAAATGGTAGACAGAAATGTTCTCCCATTGGTTTCTGAGTGTTTTAATTTTTGATATCAGATTTCTGTCTATTTATTCTTTCACTTAGAGAATTACCTGTTTGTACTATGTAGACAGCCAAGGGACATTGTTGACAGATTATTGCATATATCACATTGGAGGATGAGCAAGTGAATGGTATGGCTGATATTATTAGGTCCTGTAATAGTGTTTCCTGAGTAGATATGCATTGTTTTCTGGTGCACTGCATGATACACATTTACTTTCTTTTCTCCCTGGGCAGATCTCCAGATCTGTGACACTGGAACTTTCATCTGTTTTCTGTATTATCTGGAAAGCAAGTTTTGGCCCAGAGATACACTTAAAGCACTTAAAGTGGCTAAGTTTCATTTCCTGGTATTGGTTATTTAATTATCTCTGTGGGGACTTGCTTTGAACCTGTTTATAACATTCAATTTTGAGCTGAAGCCAACCTTGATCAAAGGAGGACTTAATGGGAAACTCTGAATGAAAAATAGACTTCAGGAGGAATATGGTTTAGCCCCAGCAGGTGGTTCTCTAGTCCACAATATCAGGTGGTTCTCTAGTCAAAACCTAGTGGGAAGCTTGTTTATTGTTCAGACCTTCCCAAGCCTGATTCTCTGCCTTCCATAGTGGTACATCTGACTTATTTGCCACCTGCTCCAAGAGTGACATCCGAGTGTGGTATACACCTGAAAACAGGGAGCTGCTACGAATAACAGTTCCCAACATGACCTGCCATGCAATAGACTTCATGAGAGATGGCAAGAGCATCATATCAGGTAAACAGCTTTTGGATTTCTTCTGCTGACTATAGGTTGCGATCATACGCTCCTTTAGATCCAACATAGGTGCGAATGCCTGATGGATCTAAAGGGAGTGATCAGACAGCAACATCTGGGAAGCGTCTCGCAGTCGTCAGCAACCCGTGCTGCTCCACGATGGAAGCGGAGTTAAAAGACACCAGGGAAAGTCCAATAGTAAACAGGTTGCTACGGGCCATGGACGGACTTTCCCCTGTCTGATCACTTAAGCACGCTCTCATGCCGTCGGGATGGTCTGTTCAGGTCATCCCAAATCTGTACCATTGTTTTTCCCCCCTTCGCAGTATGCACATCATCGCATACTCCATAGGGGGCCCTCAGTGGGGAGGAGCAAATCCTCATTTATGCACAAGGGAAACAAATGACAAAAAAACACAACAACAACTCACCCACAGTTGCATCTGATCACACAATGATGGGCTAAGCCCGCAGCTTCAAAGGGCTGTGTGATCTCGCAACTGTGCGCTTCAACTGGTGCATGTGACCGCAGCCTTTAGCCTCAGTTGCTCTCCACTTTAAGTGGACCTGTACATTCTGCCCAATGTTTCTAAAGGTTTTGACTACTGAAGAAATGAGAGTATTAAATTATGGGAAGACAAAGATACAGGATTTGGGTGGACATTCAGAGGAAGTAGTGGTTTTCTTTACATAATTTAGAATCATAGAGTTGGAAGGGACCTCCAGGGTCATCTAGTCCAACTCCCTGCACAATGCAGGAAATTCACAAATACTTCCCCCCAAAAACCCCCAGTGACCCCTGTTCCATGCCCAGAAGATGACAAAAAACCTCCAGGATCCCCAGCCAAACTAGCCTGGAGAAAAATTGATTCCTGACCCCAAAGTGGCAATCAGCATTCCCTTGGGCATGTAAGAAAAGGCCACAAGAACTAAGCACTGATGCAACCCTTCCTGCCTTCCCTCGCGTGATCTGCCTAAGTTCACAGAATCTGCATTGCTGTCAGATGGCTATTTAGCCTCTGTTTAAAAACCTCCAGATAAGGAAAGCCCACCACCTCCCGAGAAAGCCTGTTCCACTGAGGAACAGCTCTAACTGTCAGGAAGTTCTTCCTAATGTTTAGCAGAAAACCTTTTGGTTTAATTTCAATATGTTGGTTCTGGTCTGATCTTTTGGAGTCCTGGCAGAGATATAGGCAATGCTGAAAAATCTACACTGACTTAAAACCTGCAGCTGTTAGAACCATTGGTGTCTACATGCTAAAGAGAAATACAGTATGGTCCATCTACCATCTTCTTGACATTTTTAAAAAATTGGAATAACATGATCAGAGCTAGATATTTTAGGCATTGGCAAGTTCTGTAATATGGTAGTGGCAACCAGCCATACTGACCATAAAGTGACAAAAATATTAGTGAGTTGAGAAGATACTTTGACTTAAACAAACTGTTTCTGTATGGCATTAGCTTGGAATGATGGGAAAATCCGTGCCTTCACTCCAGAGACTGGACGGCTGATGTATGTGATTGAACATGCTCATAGCATGGGTGTGACAGCTGTGGCTACCACAAGTGACTGCAAAAGAATCATCAGTGGAGGAGGCGAAGGCCAGGTAACATAAAGCTGAAATCACTATGTTGCATTTGGCTAAAATTGGAAATGACAGAAAACCTTGTTTGGATCTGTTCTTTCTGCAGAGTTGAATTCAGATGGCATTTTGCCGGTGGTGGGAAGTAGAGGAAGGATCTGCTGTTTCTGATTGTCCAGCCTGGCTGTTGAAGTTTAAAAGAGGAGCCAAGTAAACTTCAGCAAATCCTTCTCTCCTTCTCTCACCTATACTTGGCTTATCCAGTTTATGGGGTTTTTTTTTGGGGGGGGGGGGGTTGTGCCTGTCCCCAGCATCAGTTTTCTTATAATGCAGTTCTTTCTGGTGTTTTCTGTCCCTGTCTGCCTTCCAGTACCCAGGCTGGAGGTCTGTGTTTCTTTGCACTTCGAGGTACTCATGTTCCTAGCAAGGATGCTGTGAACTGTTTCTGTTTATAGCCAGATCATTTGGATTAGGAGTATGGATTATGTAGGATTCAGTGGCTTGAACAAACCCCTTGGACACTATCTCTCTCATGTTTCTTGCCCACATTGTTGCGTAGAAAAAAATAAAACTGAAACTGGCAATTCTAAGGTGGGGAAGCAGGAGGGATCATCAATACCATATGCTCTTAAATGGTTTTTACAAAATAAGGTAAAATAGGGGCATATGTGGAAGGTATTCTGTACATAATACTGGTTTTTATCAAAGAATCAGTACGTCTGAATGGGGAATTTAATAGTAACAGAATAAAACTTCTTCACACAAGACAGGTCCCATGTTTGTCTCCTAAGAGGTTTGAATATAGAACATCAGCTATTTTCCTGTTCCCTGAAATACTTTAATTCATTGTATTGCTTTGAGAACTGCATTCAGGACCATCACAACACTGAGACCCAATGCTGGCCTGTGATGCTAAATCCTCCGTAAATGTTACACAGCTACCAAATTATACAGCCACTGGGTTTAATCTCCTACTACTGGGCTCCAGTATCCCTTTATGTACTTTTTAAAAGTATGGATCTCTCATAAATTAGGCAAAAACCAAATTAGGGAGGTACACAAAATTGTTATTTGTTTTCCATTCGTTAGTAGTTTTAATTTTAGTATCTTTTTTCCTTTTTATTATTTGTTCTTAAAGAGAACAATACATAAGGTTGTGCAGAATCACAGAAGTTAGTGTTTCAGTGCTCTGTAATTTTTTTAAATTACTTATTATAGGAGGGAAAGGGGGAAGACCTTCTCTGATAAATTTGTTAGATTCCATTATCTTTATTATAGCTGTCGTATATCTTCATTTTCTTTCTTCTGTTCCTTATTTCTTTCCACTGATTTCATTTCCAGCTATAAACTGGCCTCCCCCCAATCTATGCTATAAGAAATTCTCAGGAACTGCACCCCTCATTCAAAGAATCCTCCCTGCTAAATTTCAGGGTCCCTGTTTTATAGGCAATGAAAATTCACACTTTCACAACACACCAAGGCAGACCTTTGGCAACTCAAGAGAGCAGGTAGGAGGCGTTACTAATATTGAATAGGGAGATCCTTGTTTATGTTTAAAACAGGGGAGGAGATGGATATCTATGTTTAACCAGAGTGCATGAGTGAGGGGAGTTGTATCCTTCTTTCTCTCCTGCCTGACCTTGGTGCTCATCAGTGCTTGAAATATTTTTTTCTTAGGGTGCGATCACACGCAGAATTAGCCGCACCATAGGTGCAAATGCCGGGTGGATTTTAAGGGTGTGATCACATGAGAACATCTGCCAGGCGTCCCGTACCCATCGGCAACCTGTTTTGCTCCGCCACAGAAGCACAGTAAAAAAACACTAGGGAAAGTCCAGTAGCAAACGGGCTTGCTACAGTCCAGGAATGGACTTTCCCCTGTGTGTAGTGCTGGACCATACATTGATGGAATTAGGCACCCGCCTAGAGCGTGCCCCCTGGAATGGAGTGCCAGCTGGCCTGCCTGCTGCTGCCCCACCCCACCGCTTGCCTCACCGCCCTGCTTGTCTGCTCCTCTGCTCACCCCTGTGCTGTGCTCCAGTGTCCTCCTCGGTCGGAGGACGCCGTCCTGGCCTGTCTGCCTGCCACCCCTCCCTGGCAGAGAGAGGAAGGCAGGATAGCAGCGGGAAGGCCACCATCACTGCTGCCTGAGGTGCCCAACTGTAGCTTCGCTGGTCCCTGCTGCTTGGGCAGTGGCTTAGCCTGCCTGACTGACGGAGAGGCAGCCAGAGGCCGGGAAGAGGCAGCAGCGGTGGACTAGCTGAGCTGAGAAGGCGCGCAGCCACGGGCAGCAGCAGCTATGTGGTGGCTTCCCCTCACTCTGTTTACCTTTGGCGCAGGCTCTGCGGGCGCCCTTTTTGGCACTCACAGACGAGAGGAACTGGGGCAGGCTGGGGTTTCCCCTTCACACTTTCGCACTCAGTCGCACTCAGAGTGCTGCGCAGCGGGGACGCCCCCTCCCTGACCCTTCTTGGCTAGAAGATTACCAGTAACTTTGCATGGGGCGACGGCTGCCAGGGGATCTGCAGCATTGTAAGGATTAAACAGTGTGAGCTGTTTCCTGGACAGACTGGGAGGGCGGGGAGGGAGGAAAAGTCCATTCCAGGGTTTGGGGGGGAGGGGGCTTTGTTACTGAACAGCCAAGAGACCAGGAAGGGTTTCAGATCTGCAACAGGAGACAAAAAGCTTTTCAGGCAGATTCCTAGCAGGGTTACTCTGAAGTAAGTCATGGGGGGAAATAAGTCAGTCATGCTGGAAGAAGAAGAAGAGATTGGATTTATATACCCCGCCCTTTACTCGGAGTCTCAGAGCGGCTTACCAACTCCTGAGCTGTGACTGAGTCAGGAAAGCTCCTCCCCTGCCACGAATTTTGTGAGTCTTTCAGGTGCTGCTGGACTCTTGGTCTTTTCTCCCCTAACGCTCCGTCATGACAGCTTCACTCGTCGGAGCAGCAGGGACTCCCGCAGCCCCCCCCCCCCCCGCCAAGGGCCGACCTTGTGCAACAGCCTGACTGAGGTCAGGAAGGCTCCCAGCTTTCCGCAATAGGGTAGGCACTGTACAGAAAGATTCACAAAGTCACTTGGAGAAATTATCTGGGACTGTGGTCTGTATTAATGTGTATTTGTTGTTGTTGCTGTCAAGTCACAGCTGACTAGGGTCTTCAAGGCAAGAGACATTCAGAGGTGGTTTGCCATTGCCTGCCTCTGCATTATGATCTTGGTATTCTTTGGAGGTCTCTCATCCAAATATTAGCCAGGGCTGACCCAGCTTAGCTTTCAAGATCGGATGAGATCAGGCTAGCCTGGGCTATTCAGGTTAGGGTGTTACCTCCCCTGAGGTACCTGTGCTAAAACTCTCTCTCTCTCTGGAAGTTTTCTGTGCCTTGGGAAAAAAACGGCTATTCAAAAGAAGAAATGCAGCAGGTAAATTATGTAAATCTTAAATTAGGTAAAGCTGGTAAATCTTTCTCCAGACCTTTTTTTCTCTAGACTGGAGGGGGGGGGAATCCAGAGTCATAGGAGGTTATATCTGAAAACGTGGGGGCTTCAACCCCACAGAAGTTGATGCTGGAATAAAATCCCGTTGGTCCCACAACTTTGTTTCTACCGGGGAAAGAGATAACGCAGGATTTTCCTAGCATTCCCAGAATTTTGTATTTCCTTGATAGGGTTTGTCTCAAACAGCTGCCTGTCATAGAGACAGAAATTAGTTAGGGAAGTCCTTATAATCACTTCACCTCTGTGACAGGAAAAGGTTTCACTGTTGTAGTACATCTCAATGCAAGGGAATTTCCCTTGTAGATTTTTCAATGCCTTGTGCTTTTTAACAGCATCATGTCAGAGGGAGAAATTAATCAGCGGATGCTTTCTTTATGACTTAATCTCTGGTTGGGGAAAGCATTTTTCATTCTTCCTAAAATGCATTTATGTTTGAAAATTGGTGGGTGCGGGGGGCACCAGATGGTAGCCTCGCCTAGTGTGCAAAAAAACCTGGCACCAGACATGCCTGTGTGATCACGCCAGCACGCTCTCTGTCACGCTTGCGCTGGCAGGCCAGGCAGGGCACGGAAAGTCCAGAACACAGTCTGAGGTCAGGGCACCAGATAAGACAGAGTAACGTGAGCAGAGTCCAAAATACCAAGTCAAAACACAGTCTAGGGTTACCAGAGATTGCATGCAGAGTTCAGAAGCCGAAAGCCATTCATCAAAAGTCAGGATACACAGTCCATAGTCAGGGAGCCGGACAAACAACTTCACGCAAGCCAAAGTCAGGAGCTGGGAAGTCAAGATGAAAACCAGGAGACAGGAACACAGGATCCGGGGTGCAGCGAGTCATCTATGAGACTAGTTGCCAGCACGAGTTTGCCGTGCAGTGTATTGAAGTGTTAATTGCCCTTAGACCAAGTGCGCAGTTATGCCAGCTGGTGCTAGCAATAGCAAGCCACACAGACACAGTCCTGTGCTTAACTATTTACAGTTTATTTACAGCTATATATATTTTCTGGAGCTCACCAACAAAGTGTTCCGCAATACAATCATAGAGGAGAAGGGGATACATCATACAGACACTATACACTTATATACAAGCTACAGCCAATCAGCACACACCACTGAGTCATCTCTTTTCTCACCACAGCCATAGGATTGACCTAGATCAGAAAGATGTAACGCTCTATCCAGCTATCAGCTCGATTGTGAGTAAATGATCTACTGAATGCATGTGAAGTTAAATAAAGACGATTTAAGCTCTCCAGTGGCTGTGTGTTGACTCACACCTGGAAAGCGTTTGCCTCAGCTGCAGCTCATGCTAGACGCTAGACAGGACAGTTGGTTTTTGGGATGATTACTGTCATAAAGTTTCCACACGATATCTAACCAGTATAAGTTTAATACAGTATAAACAGTATAACCTGTATAAGGGTCAAGAAGCGACAGTTAGAACCGGATATGGAACACCTGATTGGTTTCGCATAGGAAAAGGAGTACGACAAGGATGTATATTGTCACCTTGCTTATTTAATATATATGCAGAGTACATCATGCGAAATGCTGGCCTGGATGAATCACAAGCGAATTAAGATTGCTGGGGGAAAGTTCAACAACCTCAGATATGCAGACGATACCACTCTAATGGCAGAAAGTGAAGAGGACCTAAAGAGCCTCTTACTCAAGGTAAAAGAGGAGAGTGCAAAAGTGGGCTTGAAGCTCAACATCAAAAAAAACTAAGATCATGGCATCCGGCCCCATCACTCCTTGGCAAATAGAAGGGGAAGCAGTGGAAGTAGTGACAGACTTCACGTTCCTGGGATCCCAGATCACCGCAGACTGTGACTGCAGCCATGAAATTAAAAGACGCCTGCTCCTTGGGAGGAAAGCGATGGCGAACCTAAACAGCATGATAAAAAGTAGAGACATCACCCTGCCAACAAAAGTCCGCATGGTCAAAGCAATGGTATTCCCAGTAGTCATGTATGGCTGCGAGAGTTGGACTATAAGGAAGGCCGAGCGCCGAAGAATAGATGCTTTTGAACTATGGTGCTGGAGGAGACTCTTGAGAGTCCCTTGGACTGCAAAAAGATCAAATCAGTCAATCCTAAAAGAAATCAACCCTGACTGTTCCCTGGAAGGCCAGATAATGAAACTGAAGCTCAAATACTTTGGCCACCAAATGAGAAGGGAGCACTCACTGGAAAAGACCCTGATGCTGGGAAAGATTGAAGGTCAAAGAAGACGGGGACGGCAAAGGATGAGATGGTTAGACAGTGTCAACTGTTCCCTGGAAGGCCAGATAATGAAACTGAAGCTCAGATACTTTGACCACCAAATGAGAAGGGAGCACTCACTGGAGAAGACCCTGATGCTGGGAAAGATTGAAGGTCAAAGAAGACGGGGACGGCAAAGGATGAGATGGTTAGACAGAAATTGAGACAACTTCAGAGGACGGCGGAAGACAGGAAGGCCTGGCGTGATCTGGTCCATGGGGTCGCAAAGAGTCAGACTCGACTGTGCGACTGAACAACAACAACAAAAATCTAACCAGTGTTTTTCTTCAGACTGCTACTGCTGAAGATCTTCTTCAGAAGTTTCAA